CTAGATGATGCAACTTTTCGAAACATGTTTACATAGAAATCAACTGCTAGACAAAAGTTGAACCAGCCTTACATTTCACTAAATCAATGGAAGACACTAAATGTGTGGATCGAGGGATTTTTGATGTTGCTAATTCCAATAGTGATGTCGAATAACAAAACTATAATTTGCGCGGTGACTTTTAACATGGTGTTGTATACGAGAATCTCATGAATACTCTCTTACATTTTTATCAGAGATCGAAAAACGTCTATACACTTCAAATAGATGGAGAGGCATGCGTTGTTTTTATCATCTTTATCTTTTTTTCTTATCAGTTGCGCTACATGTTCTTGTATTTAATGTTCGTTTTTTAAGTCCTTTTTGTGAATTGTTTTCAATAGAACTTTCATTTTGACTTTCGATTATTATTGTGAACGGTTTCATATTTCCATCGATTGTTTATACTAATATCATACTATGTGGAAATCATTCATTTGGATACTTATCTTTCAATTCCTGACTAATGGACAATCTTCAATAAGTTATAGTATTCGAGCACAACTCCCTAGAGAACGAGCAACAACGATTCTGGATACTGAATTCGAACAAGTCATTGCTGACCGTTATCTTTTTGCTTCATGTGCAAATGAATCTACAGCTTGGACTGTGCTCAGTAACATTAACTATGTATGGCAAGCTATATCATTACCACAATATCATTCACAAGCATCGGAAGGAGTTTGGCTTCTATCTCAAATTATCAATGACGAACAAAACCAAGATTCATCTGTTGGAATATTTCAAATGTCCTGGATGTCATTGTTTGCTAATGGTACTTTGGTAGTTTTATCGGAGATTCATGTTAATAATAATAATAGTTTTTTGGTTTCATCACATAATGAAATGACTGCTTCATCCTATTCAGCTGCTCTTATCACACCTGACAATATACAATTAATATTGTGTGAACGATCAAATGCTACTTCTTGTAGAATCGTACAAATAATTCCATTTCCTTCTATTTTGTTGAATACTAAGAAAATCAACGATGGTTTATTTATAGATGATTTAGGACATGCAGGATGGCTATATATTGCTGCCGATTCAGGTTTACATGGATTGGATCTTTCTACAATGATGATTTATCCCTATCTGAATGCAATCAATGTTTCTGTTTCTTCCTTAGCATGGAGTTCAAAATGGCAAACTATATTTGCTGGTACTGAAGCAAAACTTTGGATTCAACAATATAGTACTAAGAATGAAGGATGGCGCTTTGAACATATCAATGCATTCATTGATGCACCAATTACTTCATTGGTATATAATGATGTACAAGATAAATTATGGATTGGACAAAATACAGGAATAACGCTTCTTTCACCAATTGTAATGTCGACGGGACATATTCATTGGTATTTCTCAAGATTAGCAGGAGAAATTTCAAATCCTGGATCAGACATAGGACATTTACCATTTGCAAATATAACTACATTAGGTTTTAGTCATTCAAAATTTTCTGATAGTCGTATATGGTTAGGTAGTGTTCATGGCGTAATGCGTTTCGATTCAAATACCAGTAAGTTAAATGCTTGGCGTGTATTCAATAGTGCGAGGTACATGCCAAATAGTCAATCACAAGTCAATGTATCATCGTTAGCTGTACTAAGTCATAGAGGCGATACGCCCAGTAATTTAGGCAGTACTGCAGTAGCAGTCACAAATCGAGGACTAGCTATTCTTCGTTTCGAAATGTGGACATTAGCAAGAAAAGTGGAACACTTTCAAGCATTTCTCGATCAACCAGGTAGACACGATGAATATGGTTTCATATCTAGTTGTAATATGTCATCTTGGGGTGATAGTCATACTTGCGTCAAAGGACCAGACGATAACGATGGTCTTTGGACATCAATGTATTTAGCTAGTCAGATCTTTCGCTATGCTGTAATGCGAGATCTGATGATCAAAGTTCAAGCATGGAAACATTTTGAAGCATTAGAATTACTCAATCAAGTTTCAGGTAATTTCAAAAAATAATGCAAATATAATTAGATAGTATATTTTATGTTATTACTATAATATACTTTTATTCGTAGGTATTGTTGGCTATCCTGGACGTTCGCTTGCAAAACGCAGTGATTTTCCTCCTGATTCTAACTGGCATCCGTCTCCTATTAATTCAACTCTACAATTTAAAGGTGATACATCATCAGATGAAATTGTTGGTCATGAATTTGTCTATCCACTTGTGCACGATTTATTGGCTGAGAACGATGATGAACGTCAACGAGCATACATACTTTCGTTCAAAATTACAAATCATATTTTAACTCATGACTGGTATTTGATTGGTGAAAATCATACACATACAACATGGGGCATTTGGAATCCAAGACAAATAAATAATGATAGTTTTTATCAAGAAACTCGAGGTCTCAATAGTCTTCAAATATTAGCCTTTCTATTACAAACTTATGCCTATAGTGGTGACGAGCGTTTTCTCAATGGTGCAAATCTTCTCGTCAAATCGTATCAATATGATGTCAATCTCATTAATCAGAAAACTATTGCTGTTTGTGATAATAGTTTTTCTGATGATGAATTAGCATATTTATCGTATTTTACATTAGTTCACGCATTTCATAGGATATCTTCATCGACTAGTTTATCTTCAGAACAGAAACATCGTGCACAAAAGTTGATTGATCATTTATTAGAATACATGAAAATTGGATTGAATCTATCACATAGATATAAAAAAATGGAGAAATCACCATTCTTTAATTTTATCTATTGTTATGTCAGTGGTCAAGTCAATCAAACTCAATATTTATTTCAAAAACTTAATTTATCATCTACCACTTTTTCTAATTTCGATTGTTCTTCATTATCCATGGATGGAATATGGTATATGCAACGTTGGCCATTAGAACTTATCCATTGGCCACAATTCAATAGTGATCGATTGGATGTTCAAATTAATGGACCAGCCGAATGTAGTTCGGAAATAAGTTCATTGAAACTATTACCACCTGATGAACGATCTACTTGGATGTGGAATGCAAATATCTACGGTTTAGATAATGGTAGTGGATTCAATGAAGAAAATCCAGTTGCTTTCTTGTTAAGTTATTGGGGTATGCGTTATTTCGATTTGTTAGGATAAGCAGTTGGAAGTAATTTGTCAATATAGTCGAGGTACTTTCTTGTATTTAAAAACTTGATACCTATGCAATTTGCTTTCTTTTTTTATTGTAATTATTTGTATTTCATGTAGTTCTTCAACAGATAATTATTATTTCTTTTTTCTATCTGTATTAATTATATCTAGATTTTATATTTGACAAAATACATAATTATCTACTAAACATTCTGTGATTGATTGTCTTTGTCAAGAATTTTTTTTCAACATAGGTGAATCACGAATATTACTCTGAATACTAATCATGATTCGGTAAGATTGTATATAATAATTATATCCTATTATGTTAGTGGTTGTTATTAATGCTTTGTTTTTCTTATTGTTGATATCTATATTATATTCTAATTGGATCGATGGATGTGTATGGGTGTAGATGTAGGTGAGTACAGATGTAGATATCATTCTTCTCTTCATCTATACTTACGTTCACACCCACACCCACGCCCAAAGGCCAGACTTCCGTTCCTGACTGCATGGAATTTAGATATATATTTCAGTCATCTATAGAACTTCTCGCATTCATAAATATTTCGTATGTCTATTAGATTTTTCAATACAGATTGTCTCTTTACTCTTATTAAACAAGTTTGACGAGGGAACATCCACAACTGCTGGATGCCATTTGACCTCATATTTTAGCTACAAGTAGAGCTCAATGAGGCTCAGAAAATCGTAAAAGAGAAAAAAAAAGGTTTTTCTTACTTTTTTCTCAATTATTTCATTCTTGTTCTGAGTTAAAACTTAAAATTTTTGATATAGAACTGTCATTCAAAATTTCGAATTTGAATCTTTTTCACTTAAAAGATTCAGTTAATCTCGATATAAAGTTATCTCAAATATATAATCACATCTTTTAAGTGAATTAAGTTTCGACTCTTCACCTCAGAACAAGAATGCAAAATTGATGCTTTTAGAACTTTCTTAATCTCATTGAGCCCTACTCGTAACCAAAATGTAAGATGAAACAGCATCTAGCAGTCAGAGATGTTCTTTCGTAGGATTCACTGATTAAATATACAATTTAATTATATTGCTTGATACTTTTAATATTGAATGATCTAAAGAAATTTTTATAAAGTAGAAAAGATTCTGTTTTCTTGATCATACGCATTATCTTTTAATGTAGTTCATTATCTAGCGAGAAAAGAATTATACACTCAGCACAAAACAGTTTAACATGAGGTAATTTTAAAATACTGTAAATTCTAGAATAATTTATTTAGGGACGGGGTATATGGGTTGTTCACCTCTCAACACTCGTAAAGTGTCTTCGACAGCCTTCATTCCCAGGGCTCGTCTTGATTGTTCAGTATACCAAGCTATATGAGGAGTAAGAAGCACATTGTCAAGTTTAGCTAATTCTTCGTCGACATTAGGTTCATCTTCGATAACATCGAGAGCAGCATAGGAGATTTGTCCATTTTTCAATGCCTGAACAAGTGCTTTTGTATCGATGAGACCACCTCGACTAACATTAATCAGAATCGGACGACGTTTCATTTGAGCAATCGAGTCAGATGAGATAAGATAATGATTCATTGCTGACATCGGAATATGCAGCGAGATAATATCACACTCTTCGAAAATCTCTTTCAATGTGTTTGTTGTTGGATCTTTCGAATTATGTGTTAATATTTGTTTGACAAAAGGGCGCATCTTATCTGCGAAACATGTTCCTATACGTCCACAGCCAATAATACCGAGTGTCATTGTGTTCAATTCTTGCAACTTTCCAGCCGCTTTACTATTCCATTGATGTCTTTCAACGATTGAATTGTGAAATGTCAATAGACGACGTTGAGCAGCGAAGAGAAGAGCAACTGCATGATCAGCTACAGTATTTATTCCATAATCAGGTACATAGCAAACCTCAATACCTCGACCTCGGCATATATTCACATCAATGTTGTCATACCCAACACCAAGCTCAGTGATAACTTTAATTGAAGAAGGTAGTTGAGAGACGAGTTGTGCAGTAATTGGCAAGCTATCGATGATGATAGCCACAGTTGTTGGTGATAGATGTGCGAGAAGGTCGTCTTCTGAGTTTTTGATAAGTACTAGTTCATAGGGTGTCGACTGAAGACGATCCTTTTCAATAGTAAAATCCTCAAAGATATTTTCGAAGATGATCTGTTGTTTTGGTGATTGCGATGTCATTTCGAATAGTAGAC